GTACGTTTTCTATTCCCCTTATATAAATCTTTTAACTACATAAGCGGCTAAATATGTCCCTGAAATGTTGCAAAAAAAATACAAGTTTTTGTATTACATATAACTAAACAAAATACTTAACAGAATCCGAAAATGGAAGAATTGTATATTTATTTTCATTTTTAAAGTGTTCCCACTATTTTTTATTTTATAATTATGGAATACAAAACCTACTAATTATTTTATTTTTATAAGTACACTCTATCATGCTAATAATAATATTTCATCTAATAGAATTTTTCTAATAGAATTTCATTTATACTTACAAAAAAAATCACATTCTTAGATCTTTTTCATACGGTTGGGAAGTCGTGTTTGTGTGTGTATAGTATTTATATTCACACCTAATTGGAAGCGTGGTGTAATACTCAGTCTTTTTTACATTGCAATGGGAACGTAAATAATATAGGATTTTTTTTATTATCTGTTCATTTTCATTTCTTTTCAAGCAATAAATTGCACAATACCTTCGCAATCCCTGTTCATTTTCGAGTATTTTCAAGAATCTAAATTATTGCAGTCAATCAAAAATTCTCCACGCCAAAAAAAACCCAGATGAGGAGTTTTTCAGTACCATGCACAAACAGCAACTCTTAAAAACTTTAGTTCTAATAATCTCACAAGAAAACTTAAAAAATAATGGGCAAATCAAAGGTTGAAAGAAGAAAGTATCAGTGTCCGCACAACGTACGGGTAAATCAGTTAAATTTTAAACATTTATAATAAGAATATCATTGTGTAAAGAGAATACTATAAATCGTTGGCCTTCATTTAATTCTTCAATTACTCGATACGAGTTAAGCAGACAAGTGAAATTGATTTGTTGTCGAATCCTATGTAATACATATAGTGATATTTGGCAATGGTTAATGGCAATGGCTTATGTTTCCCACAACTCATTGAGATCATCAATTTACGCACTATTGGTGCGTGGGCGGGTTAATCACTGAATTATGCATAACTAATCTTCATATCTAATTATCGATGAGCATAGTTCAGATATTCTAAATGATAGTGATTATATTGTTTAATATGTATGGAATCGTAAGAGTATTATCTAAGTAAGTTAAGTGCCCTTTGAATATTTAATGTCGAAATAGCAAACCATTTTGTGTATTTTGTTTCAAATTTAGTAAAGAAAATGTAAAGTTCGAAAATGAAAAAAAATGTAGGAACTGACACTGAACAAGATATTTTTTCATCAAAAAGATAAATAATTTTAAAACAACAATGAAAAATTAAGCATTAAAAAAAGTTACAGTAAGTTTTCTAAACTTCCTTCATAATCAAATATATGCTATAAAATTTTTATATATGCTATTCTCGAACGCATCAAATTACTTTGTAAATGATTCGAAAATAAAACATTGTAAGATGTTCAAAGTAAAAGTATTTCTGGAATATTTATGAGTTTATATAATGAATCATTTTATACCATATACATTTGTCTTTGAAATACATCTTTATTTAATATATAACTTAAGCTATAAGGGAAAATTAGTTGACGTGCGTAAGTAAAATTATAAAATAAAATTATACTTACCGTTATACAACAAAATACTTTTTAAGTGTATATTTGTAATATCTAATTTTCAAAATCAGCGGCATACATTATAACCAAATGAACGAGTATTCAAAGTTGGAGGTAAAAATAATTATGTAAAAATCGTAAGAATAACTATGCGCTTGTATTGATTTAAATTATGCTATTATTATGTAAAGATAAATCATTAGAAAATTAATAAGGTGATAGTAAGTAATAAAAATATGTTCATTTCAAAGTTAATTCAAGCATTTTCTGTTTCAGAGTATATCATAATAATAAGATGTAAAACTTATGTAAACAGACGTAAAACAAATCATTTAAAGTAACTGGAATATGAAAAAAATAACTATTAGAACTGAGTATTATAGAAAAGCGTTGCCTTGCTTTCAATATTTTGTAATCAAAGTACACATTAAAAAAAATCCAAGCATAAAATTCGTTTCTTGCAGCAAAATAAAATAAAACAACATTGAGCGGAATATTGAATACATATATATTACTCGCATCATTCAGTTAAAAGCGTATTTTAGGTATATAAGAAAGGCTTAGTATACACTTTATAGCATACAAGGTGATGTACCTAGAAATATGCATTTGCATGGAGTTAAAATTGGTTGCTGTGATTTACATATATTAGAGACGAAATGTTTGATTGAATTGACTATTTTATTCAAGAAATTAAACTAAAAAATCAAGCAGTTGAATACTCTTTAGCACAGATACAAAATTTATTAGACTGAGCATTGACTACCAGGTTTTTGAAATGCCTCCAGTGGCAACCCTTGCCTTAAACTCTCTAAATGGCGATATTGAAGGGACTGATCCAATAGCGGTTAGAAATGCAAGCTCACCATAGCTCAAACACACTGTATTGGAATGTAATCTAAGGAAAGTTTGGGCTTACGAAGTGCTGGTGAAGAATGTAGAAAGGGAAAAAGGGGCAAACAAACGAGACTTGGAATCTTGTTGACATTGCTACGTAATAATAGTGTCACGAATGATAACTAAACGGGTATGACAATCAAATTAAATGTCATTTCATGTAATTTCTGTTTGTCTGTCTTTAAAGCGACTTACAGTGTTGAATATTAAACCCTAGTCCTTAACATTTATAGAAATGTGTTTTACAGTCTTTTTTCATTAATTCAAAACGGGTCTGCTGGCTGAAAGCATTTCTACTCCTGTCCTTGAAATTCCAAGATAAATGTCGCGTAATCATTTTAAATACACATATCGGGGGGCGATAATGTGTGGCAGTTAACGCCCAATCTTCAATGACCTCAACTTGCCTAGTTCATTGAATCGCCGATCAGTGGTCATTACAGTCACTAATGCGTCAGTCACATTTCCGATTGTTTGTAAATACGCAACGGAGATTGTGTAACAAATCAGTCTGTCACATTTGTCATCGAGCTTTACCATTATTCTTGTTGCTACCTACTGTACGTTATTGTTAAATCATCTTTACAACATCACAGAATTGTAGAATCACATGGGTCCAAATATCGAGCGATTTTGTGGACACGATTTTATGCTGTTTAATTGTAAGTGAATACAGAAGGTCATACGTATTTTGTGGAAACGACTCTGTAATTTATTTTTTCGTTTGAATTTTGAGATAAAACTTTGAGAACATCAGAGTAATCGTATGCTAATGTGTTTTTTTATTTATTTATATTTTATTCTTGTAATGTAAAATGTAAGATTTATGATTAGATGTAAGATTAGATGTCTTAATTTATACACAATTACACTTCCCGAGGAGAAATGTTCGTATCAACAAACTATAAAGAGGTGTAAAAATATCGGTTACTGCATTTAAACAAAAAATACAGTTTAACTTGTTTTTGTGCGGTAGATAGGGACCGCATAAAAATAAACGCACAAAAAATATTCAAAAATTTCATAAATTCTTAAATATAACAAATTATACGTGGAAATATTACAAACTTTTTTATGCGGTGGATAAGGACCGAAACAAAATGTCGCATTTATAAAATTATGTAAGTGTACTTGCATAAGAAAATAAATAATTAAATATTAAACATGGAAACATTTTAGAAACATATAGTTTCTCACTGTATACACGAATAAGTCTTCAAAATACACATACATAATTCATTGCTACACATCGTAATCCATAGCCCTGTGATGAATAAGTTCAAAATCACTTTCGTCACCTTAAGGTACAGTTTCAAGGGATAAGTTTTTGTGATGAAGATCTGGTCGTCAGTTGTTTGTAAACATCAAGATAACCAGATATACCTGATTGAAGCCCTTTTGTGGAATTTTATACTCCTTTCTTAATTGGTATCTATTTTAAGAAAATTCTGTTTCAATTTGTTGGAAAGCTGGATCCTTGCATATTTTTATTCGCTTTCAAAGAATCCGGTTTTTTTTGTCCGTCTATATAATCTATCAAATTATTGATAATGTCACTTGCATTGAAAGTTTCGTCTTCACTCAAACGCGAGCTGTTGGAGCGTTGAGGGAAAGCAACTGAAAGCAAATTATGGGGATAATGTTTATAACAAACGAACAAAGAATTTTGAAGTGTCTACATTACAGGGTTATAACGTACACCTCGGAGGGGGCAGGACTCCAGGGTCCCAAGTCCTGATTAACGCTAAATGCATATTTACCTAATTTAGAAAATATTAAAGGCGAAACCTGACATTCATGGGGGAAGGGCCCTAACATTGTCCGTTACGCCACTAGTAAATAGATAGCTAACATTGCAGGGGTGTGCTAAAGCCATTGAAATTCATATACCGCATAAAAAAAGATGGCACAAAACAAATCGCTTAAAAAAGGACCACACAAAGATAGGTTCTACTGTACGTATAAATGTAATAAATTTGAAAGAAAAAAAACATCTTGAAGAGTTTAAATATAAAAACACGGCCACGAAACTTCATACTAAGACTGTTCTAAATTAGGCAATTATCAGGAAAGAAAAGTCTCAGATCCTAAAAGGAAATATGTTGACAAAGATGCATTGCATCAAAATTAGAAATGTCATCCATGACACTGTAAGCATAATGATTTAATAAGATTTAATATTGCAAAAGATGTTTAAACTCGAAGAACGTCTACTTCAGCCTAAACATATTGCTGAAAGAAAATACAAATTGTAGAAAAAAATATAAAAGATACAACAACTTGGAAACGGAAATTTGTGGTAATACTCGATGATGCATCGGTATATTTGTTGTTGTCGTGTGTTTTTATCATGGGATACTTATGAAATACTAGTGGAAGAACAAAAACATACAGAACAAAAAGAAGATTGTAGACATTTATTACAAATGATGATCCCATGATATAACAAAAGGTGTGTGCTACTTTCCCCATTTGAGACGAGAATCCATAACAGGTGAAAGCCCGACTTCTTTTCCCGAAGAAAATACATCCATACCTTACTCGGGGTTCAAACCCGAACCACTCGGTTACAAGCCGAGAGTCATTTCCACCATACTCGCTGGGCAGTATCAGTATATTTAAGTGACTGCAATTAAATATCAGTTTTTCATTTTTCAACCAACTGGAATGGTCATATGAAATGGCTTCTTCAGTGTATAGAAAAAAAAGTTTCCTAAGATATTCAAAGTTGTTGAAGGATCTTGTTACAAACGACATATTAAAAATTAAAAGTGAAAAGTCTCATAACGCCAAAATTAATTCACTCTTCTATTAGCAAAATGTTTCAGAACCAATCTTTGAAGAAGAAATTCAAGAATTATATGATAAGGGCATCGACAAAGTTCAGCTTCAGATGGACAAAGCATCTTGTCACATATCTAAGTCAACTGTCGCTTATTTAGCATAAAAGAATCAAAAAGTGAAATGCAGTGTTCGATGTAATACTTGTAAAATCAGCTGACGCTTCTTTAACTGACTTTTGGGATTTCAATTTATTAAAACGAGCCTTAGGATAACGGCATCCAAGGACGCTGAAATGAAAACAGTTTAAGAAGAATGGAGTAAAATTTTCATGATAGTACTACGAAAGTTTTACTCTCATGAAAAATTCAAGCTAGAGTTATTGTCAAGAGTCATGACTATCAGATAGAAGAAAATCTCCACAAAAAGTACGACGTTTCTACAAAAAATAACTATCAAAATCATTTGCATAAAGTGCAAACGAACTTCTGTATGCCGTATAAGGGAGGTGAACAGCATCAGGTATATAATCCGGTTGATCTGCGTTGTCTTTAAGAAATCACGGAGGACAATCGAAGGAACCTAGCTAGCAAATGAAGTGTCACTTCATTCAAAACTACTTTTTGTTGGATTGAATATCCTATCACTGTCCTGGATACCTCCAGATGCATCATCGTTAGATATTGGAGTCTCAGTTTGAGAAATGGGATACATAATTGTAAATAATTCCATTTCTATCTGTAAGATTCCAATTTAAATGTACCTGGCAATACTTCGAAAGTGCTTGGTGGTGAGGGGTATTCGGTCCAGTGGTCTTATTCTAAATACTCTCTATGAACATGATTCACTCATTTCTGCCAACATCGTCGAATGATAGCATCACTTCGATCCCAATATCAAGCAATCCATCAATTTTGCCACTATCTTTCTCGTATTTAAATTGTAAATCCTTTCTGAATTTGCGAGACTTTCTCATGCTTTTTCAGAATGCGTCTGTGAAACATTGGTAGAGTCTACATTTATAAACAGAACCATATTCTCCTGGGAATTAGCATTGGAGTAATCTCATTTTAATGCACATGAACATACTCCATTACGATGTATTTGGTATCCAGCTAGTCAATTATTTGCATATTATGTGGTAAATTACATGCAGATGCACAATTTCACATCTTTCGAAAAACTCATTTTTGTTGTAATTTTTTTCCTATGCATTTTTATTCAAAGTGTAAAATAAATTTTCATGTGGTAATATTAAACTTTGTTTTTCAATTCTAAAATCATTCCCCGCTTTTATATTTCGAACGATAAATTTATTTCAAAGGTAAAGTTAGTTCATAAATTGAAACTGACATTTGGCATTTGATGGAATGAGGAAGCTCTCTTCACGATTTTTTTCAAAATTAAACGTGATTTTCTCAATATAATATTAATATGAATAAAAAGCATTTTTTATAATCCATCATATTGTGTGTGTGTGAGATAAACCTATAATCTAAATTAATAACCAAAAACTATTTAGTACCAAATCTAAAGAAATTATATCTATATATTTTACAACAGTAAGCATTTCTAGTTACATGAGAAATCTAGCTTGCCCTCTCTTTTTAATCAGAAAGAAATCATTCCTTCAATGTTCAGGAATAATTTCCATTGTGTGTGTGTGTTCACCCTATCAAAGATAACTATTCTACGTCCTAAAGCGTCACAGTGTGTGCGTTAAATTCTGTTAATACCTTTTTGCAATGATCCTCGCACAACGTTAATCTCTAATGTTAGATGCACGACTTCTCTTTCGAATTTTAACGATTTCCTTGCCTGTCTTTCGGAGCGTTAAATTACGAATTCGGTAACAAAAGCAACAAGTTCAGAAGAAAGTATTATTCAATTAGGACAGTCCTATCAATGTGTTGCTACTTGCTTCTTTTTTTATTTCTTTTCAGTAATTTGTGTCCACTCGTTAGAGGAACCGCATAAGCAAATAGAGAAATAAGATTTTCTCATTAGTGAAGGTAGTGTGTGCAATCGACCATAGGTTTGAATTAACGTCTCAGGCCTTTTTTCTTGTTTGTTTGACGTTACCGACTAGAAAAAAGAATCCTGTATAATTCATTTAAGGGATATGCGAAATAGTTGACGCATATCTATGGTTTAACAACCATTATGAGATCATATGGTAGCATAAATTTATAACTATGAATTAATTTTGCATATAATTGGGGATTTTTAATACACATTATGAAAACTTTTTCTAACATTTTGCGATTTTTTTTCATTATTTACAATCGCCATAAAGCCCTTAAAGTAAAAGTGATAAGTATAACAATATAATTAAAATGAACACCACTTGCTATAGTTTGCAATTTCAGAAATATTAGTTTTACCAAAAGATGTTTCAGTATTTTAAAACTGTTTGACTACTGAAGGATTGAGAAATAATTATTACTAAGAAAAACAATGAGAATTTGCCTTTTATATACACCTAACAATAAACAAATCATTAATTAAATAGAAACGTTGAATTTTGAATGCAATAAAAATGGATTGTTATTTACATTTAATTTTTACCTTAGTTTCTATGTAAATATGTATCTAAAATGTATATGTCGTGTTGCTACAGAGTCAGTGACGTAACGTACACCCCCGCACTGCGAGGGGGCCCAAGGCTTCTAAGGGACGAAAAGCTAGACTGACGCCATTAACGTAGAATTTCACAAAATTTGCTTTACATTTTTTTTAATCCAATTTTTAAGCGATTTTCAAATTGGCGATCTAACATCATTCAAAATCAAAACTTTGATCGCTTATTAGATATCTTAGATCCAATAACCAAATCAAAAAAACATTTTAATTTTCTGTAATCCCCGCGACGAAAGAGATACTTTTCTTTAGTGGGTTTTCTTTCCAAACCAAAATTATTAACAGATAAAAAGAAAGTCAAACTGAAAATTGGATAAAATGCTAGAAAGATAAAAAAATTCATCACAATTTTTTTAGTATACTTCATGTTAGCGGTAGGGAGAAAAAAAAGACATGTTATTTTTAAATGAAGTAGCAAAGTAACTTATTGGCGTCTTTAGCTCCCCCCCCCCACATGTATTTCATTTTCATTTAGCGAACTCGTAAATAACGTACATCTGTTATGCTCTTTTCATGAAAAATAGTACTGCTATGCTAGAAAACGCATAGAGAGCATTTTAAATGATTGCATGGTCTAGATTTATGATTTAGAAACCCATATACCAACAGAAATTTTCGTAGATTTATGAGTACTCAATCAAATAAAGCATAATGAGAAATATTTCACAAAATTGTTTTTCGAACATATATATTTTTATATTCAATGCACTTCAATATAGGGAGTATAATTAAATATATATATATATATATATATATATATATATATATATATATATATATATATATATATATATATATATATATATATATATATATATATATAATTTAATTGCAAGTGTTCAAGAGACATGTATTAATGTAGGTCGGAATTTTTATTCTGATTTATTTTTAAAGATAGTAGAAAACATTTTAATACTAAACTCCGTTCACGTAAATTTTACCATTCTTATCCATTTTACCTTTTCTTTAACCATGGACAAACTCAACTGAATTTTATATATTTCGGTCCTAAAGCTTAACACTTTATATAAAAGTTTATTCACCTCAACCTCAAAAAATATTTGTTATAATATAAAAATTTGGCATCTAAGATTTATTTATATCATCTCAATGATCCATCACTAAAGAATAATTTTGGAGTAAAATTAAATAAGTTTTTAAATAAAACCGTTGCTGGGATTGCCTAAAGAATCAATCATTAACACGCAAGAACTGCAAAAACATTTTTATAACTCCGAAAGAAACATTTTTAACCATGTTATTGAATAAGGTTCTCAGATTCATTAAGAGCTTATATTAATGTTAACTAAGAGAATTATATTTTTTTATCTTGTTCATTAGTTTATATTTTATATGCTTACGATAGGTTAATATCTCCTTACTTTTCTTTCTTTCACGTATTTAATCCATCATATTTTCATAGATTTTTCTTCATTCGAACTTATTAGACAAGCATTTACACACGTTCTTCACACAAGTGAATCGAAACATGCGGGAATAAATATTGAAAGGTGAAAAATTAATAATTTTGTCAAAATTCAATTAATGTTCTGAATAACTTTAAGGTATCCGACTACCCTAAAACCATGATTTTTTTCAAAAATTGGCAAAATTTTTATGATTTTATTTTATAGACCATTTTATTAACTTAATAACAATACCAAGTACTTTATTTTCCCTCCACTAGAACAAAAACTACAAGCGTTTTAGTAAAAGCAAATGCCATAACTTTACACAAGATGTCAAACTTTAAAATGCGTTTTACGCGAAACGTGTTTTTTCGAAAAACTCAAACGGGGACCGCGATTGCTCAAAAAAAAGTTTTGAAAATAATTAGCTGAAATTTTTTGCTTATGTTCTGCATAACAGTAGAAGTGTTTTGATCTTCAGATTTATCAATAACTGTTTTATTTCAAAATTTGCAGCTCTTTATGTGAATATAGTCAATGTTTTTTAAAGCAATTTCGTATAATGACTTAGATAAAGTGCTCTAGTTTTTGTAAAAATTAAAATATTTCTTATCGTGAAGATCACTTCAAACAGGAATAACAAAGTAACACATCAAAATTGAAAAATTGAGAATTTGTTCATAAAATCTTTGTAGAGAGCGGGCCCCGTTTATGTAATTTTTCGTACATTTTTACTAGTTTTTTCCCATTTTAATAATAATAATTTTATTTTATT